GATAACGGCTCGGAATTGTTAGTCGGAGGACCAAGTTCCAATTCTGGTTGAGTTCATTATATTCACTTATTGGCAAATACACTTGGGAAAGATATGAATCCACCTTTTCTCCTCTATTACTATGTGTTAATTAATAGTACTTTTGTCAGTAAATCGTTATTCTTCCCAAAATTCTCTTACAATCTAAAAATAATTTCTGGCTTTAAATAACCGACGAAAGGTTGATAGGCCGTAAAAAACAAATCAAATAAAGAAATTGCTCCTCAATGGTGCCTTATTAGAGATGCTATGGCGTGTCTTTTCAACAGACTTATTCAACTTATACAGGGAGGCAATTCTGAGAGAATTAAAAGCCCTCCTCGGCTTTGTTGGTTTGTTTTGTTTTGCTTATATATATATATATATATATATATATATATATATATATATATATATATATAGTGTAATATTTTAAAAAATATGATTCCTTCGCCACATAAGAGTTCTCATGTTTCAAAAACGAGAGCCGAAACCATGAATATAATTATTAAAATTAAGTTGAATCAAGGTGTTGGGTCCCGTTTCATCCTCAATTGAAAATTTAGGAATAAGCTATCTTGTGGTTTGCGCGTGTTTATAAGTATGGTCCATTGCAACATTAATTGCCATGGAAACGGCTGAGCCAGCCATCTTGGTTAGGCGGTCAGACAGTTAATACTTATCTACAGATTCGTCCACTTCATAAAGGTTATGCCAAGGTAGAGTAGGGTATCTATTTCAAAGCTAATGGTGGCGGTCACCGTCTAGTTAGATTACAGCGAAGGATATTTCATGGCGCGACGGCAAGTCGTTAAGTATCGAGAGGATTTTGTTTTATTATTATCTATCTGTTAATCTCTTTATTTATTTGTTTATTCTAATGGCTGTTCCGTATACAAACGTGTTGCACTGAACTACAATTTGTTTTTGACGACTTCACAAAGGGTTCTTTTCTATTTAATGTTTTGGCTAAGCTTTTAAGACTTTTATTAAATCATGGAATTTATTTATTTATCTATTTTTTTATGCTAATTATTTAATGCGAAAATTTATTGGTGTCGGCAAAAAACCGTTAACTCCAGGCTATGGTTTAATAACTTTTCATTATTTAGAAACTTAATGATGTGTAGTTTTTCATGTAGGCATAAAGGGCATGGGTCATCCCAGGTTGCATACTTGCGCGCACACACACACACACACACACACACACACACACACATATATATATATATATATAATTATTTATTTAAAAAAAATTTATAACATAAATATGTTATAAAATCACTACAAAAATAGCCATTTTGTTTCAACACCCTATACTGAATTAAAAAACATTAAACAAACTGTCATTAATAATGCCTTTTCTAATTACATCGTTGATGAACAAATTTGACAAGCCATTAGAAATATTAACATAAATCGCAAAGAGCATAATTAGTTTTGTTTTTTTTACGGTATATCAACCTCAATGGGTTATTTAATGCCGACATGATTTTTACTGCTGGCAATATTTCTTTTTAAAAAATGTACAGCTGGTAATAAAACCTATTTTTGTACTTTCATAATGTCTTGACCCGTTTTGGGGGGGGGGTAACTATTTGCCCATAGCTGGGTCCCCGACAGGTTCTACCACCCCAGATCAAAGGGTGGAGCTGGGAACTCCAACAATTAAGAGGTGGTTCAACGTTCCTCGAAACCTCCTAATCAAAGGCCTTGGTGTCGTCTTACCCAGAACGCATTATTGACGGACATAATCTTAACAATATAAGATATTCAAGTGGCATAATGTTGATACCAGACACAGAAAGAAAACTACAAGAGTTCCTATAGAATGCAGTAAAAGAAAGCGAGAAGAAAGGACTAAACATCAATTGCAAGAATATAGAATTCATGGCTGTCAGCAAAAGGGACAACACAGTATACAAATTACAAATTGGAGATATGAAATTCAAACAGGTACAATATCTGGGAAGCCGATGGAAATGCGACACTGAAATCCGAAGTCATATTGGAATCGGGAAAGATGCCTTCCAAAAACTTAGCAAAGTATTAAGAAACAGAAAAAAAAAATTGTTATAAACAGAGAAAAGAACGCTGGACTCATGCAATCCTCCTATAAGACAGTGATGTTGGACAAATCTCCTCACAGATGAAGAAAAAACGTGAAGCAACAGAAATGAGGATCTACAGAAGGATGATGAGAATACCATGGACAAAGGCGTGAGCAAAAACAAAATTTTACAAAAAATGGCAAAAAAAAGACACATACATCATACCAGGTCGAGGCAGTTGAAATTTCTAGGTTACGTGAGGAAAGACAGTTTGGAAAATTTGATGCTCACAGGGCTGATCGAAAACAACGCATAACGTACCTAGCGAGCTTAAGTCAATGGATGACGGAACAAGTTTTAGGAGAGATAACAAAATGTGAGAATTTATTAAGAGCTATAAAGGACAGGAAATTGTGGAGAGCCACGATCGC